GCACTGTGCTGGAGTTCTTGTTCCTTTAATCAATATTTTTATATGGACAATGGGTGAATTAGAATATGCATATCTTGTAAATGGAAAACATATTTGTTTCTTTTCTTGCAATAAAAACTTGCCTGATTGTTGCTGATGTCCCTGGATTCAACAGGTCCATGACATGTGGTGGTTACTGAGTGCTTTCCATGGCTGATTGTTCACGTTATACTACTTTGCCTGCAGAGGAGTTGATGCAAATAAGTGAATTGAGCCGTTCAACTTTCAAATCTGCTTTTATAGCTGTTATGTACGCTGGAAAGGTCAAGTGATCCTGCTTCATATTAGTGTTGTCACAAGACTTTCTAATTGTCATACAACACTTCGCAACTCAATACCACAGGGACAAATTGAGCCTAAATTATTTTAGTTAAAAGATAAATAGCACTGTGTGCTTCCCAGTACAACCACTATCTTCTGGTGTCTACTACTTTTGGCTGTTGAGCAGCTCAACTGAAATAGGTGACAGTTAAAAGCCTTGCTCGAGGGAACATTGGCAGTACTGCAGCTTGTTAAACTTTCACAGCCACTGCAGGGATTTGGTGTTTCCGGACTGAAAAGTTAGGTGCGTGATCATATGGACACAATCTGCTCTGTCTTCTGTCTTCTTGAACATCATTAAATGTATCTAACACATTTCAAATCACAGCTTTGATCTTATGGTTGTGTTCATGTAATAACTCGTGGCTGACGTGTTTGTCCTCCACAGCTACAGAGCGATCTGGACCAGGAGTACCAGGACAAATTTCGCCGGCTACCCGTGGAGATCCAGGAGTTTGTTCAGGACAGCAGCAAGGCCAAGCTTAGCGACGGCGGGGTCCACGGAAACCTCGTCGCCTCCTCAACGACGGAGAAGCTCAACCACAAGGCGTCGCACTCAGAGGACGACACGGAGGAGGGCTCGTCGGAGCGAGTCTATGACACGCCCCTTTAGAGGTTCGACCTCGGCGCTTTGCTTCACACTGGGACACTGATTGGTGGATGTGTTTGTGACCACAGCTCTAGGATGAGACTGCCCCGACTTTGGTCCTAATTTTAACCAATGGGAGGATTAGATCAAATCTGAGCCTGAACTGGTGAGTAGAGGTCCTCTCTGCGTAGACTGCAGTCTTGTCCGGAATACCGTTTCATGTAAATAGTAACTTTTTTGTGTATTTATATTTTACCTTTATGTTGTCGTCTCTTTCGGTACGGCCACAGGATGTGTTACAAAGCACTAACTATTTGCAGGAAATAACTTACTTGAACTATTGCACAGAGAGAGTAGTTTCTGTTTTTTATTATTTTTTATTCTCATGATATTGACAGTAGTGGTGGTTCGTGAGGTGTGTGGTGCCAAGGTTTTTAATTTACTTACAGTGGACATTGTCATTGAAGTGGAGTCAACTTGTACTGTAAAGAAACCACTGCATATTCAGCCTTTAAAGCTTCCATCTTTATAAGATTTAGATTCCCCCTCACTTATTTGCACTCCCTATGTAACTCCGTAACTCTCTTACTTTAACCCAGAGGCCCTGGTAGCTTGCTGGTTCTCCATTTTGTTCTCACAGAACTAAAGCCTATGTGTTGCTGCTATTCTACTTTAAAACCCATCACTTTTTTTAACCATGATTTAGTTTTTATGATATTTGGCATGGTAATATTATGCAGTGTCATTCTTTTTTTAATTTTTTTTCGTTTGGCTAGTTTTTAACAAGTTTGCGTTGTTTGTGGGTGATTCCGCCCCAGAGAGGAAGTGAAGAGAAAGCGTGTTGTACAGTACCTGCATGTATTTAAACAACTGTAAACGTTACAGTAGCTCTGTAGCAGAGATGTGTATTAAATGTAAATCTATTTTCTCGGAAACATTTAAACTAAACCTGCAAAACAGTGTGGACCCAGTGTGGCGTGATACATCACTGTGACGTTTGCTAGACGGCACTAAAATAAGTTACAACACACCCTTCTCATAGATCCAACAGAAGCTGACTGGAGTTAACGAACACGTTCTCATCGCAACTCATCCCATACCGACCTATTAGCGTCACTTTGTAACGGACTGGGTAGCCCAGCTTAGGTTTAGGCAACAAAACCACTTAGTTAGGTTGAGAAAAAACATCAAGGTCGGGCTTGAAATAACTAAACAGTGCAACATAAGTACGGAAAAACGTCACAAACATCACTTAAAACAGTGTCTGGAACACCGATCTCCTGGTTGAAAGTGGTCTCCTGGTAGAAAGCCCGGCACGTCTCATACAGACGCCAACGGTCGCCTTGTGCGTTGGTATCAGACGCCGAGGGTCGTGACAAAGCGGTGGTATTTGGCGCCTCGGGCATGAGAGTGGGCTGAGTTTACTGGTTGCACGTTGTATTCTGTACCTTCCTCGCCGTGAACTAAAACAATCAAACCAGGATATTTAAACAGAAGAAGAGGATCCTGCTGTAGTTTTATAGAAGCGACCTTCCTCTTAACTGGTTCATTGTCTACAGTGGAATGTGTGTTCAGTTCCTCAGTAAACAGAGCAGATGCCCGACGATCACAGGAAGTACAGCAGTTGGCGCCCGCTGGCCTTCACCCACAGTTGGTAGCTGTAGTTTGAAGCGGTGGAAATAGTTCAGTTGTGTTCAAACAGACGCCCAAACGTTTGTATCTATGAAGCACCAGCGTTGATCTAAGGAGTAATTCCACTATTTCCTCTTTATGTAAGACACTGTGCCCATTCAGTAACCATGAGGAAGTGTTTTTAACTTCCCTAACTATCCAGTGCCATTTAACTCATGGGTCCTTTCATATCAAATCATATTTCAGCTGAAACAAAAAAAAAGAAAAGTTGAATGTGAAGGATTACCTGACATGTAAGTACAAACTACTTTTTAAAAAGACGATATTGATGTGAGAGTCCTGTGCCTTTGAATAGGTTTGCCTTGTTTGATGTTGAATGTGTGAAATGCATCATTGTTTAAATTGCCATTATATAATATGAAGCTGTCTGATATTGAATAGGCCGTGTGCACTTTAAGTACAGTACCACTACTGAGTAATGCTTGAGATGAGCAGTATTTGACATGCGTCTCATAAGAAATGCGAGACATCCTTCTTTTTAGTCTTGAATCACTTTATTTAAAAGCCCCCCCCCCCCCATGCACTCTGGAAATGTAAATGTATGTATGACATAAAGGATAAAACATGAAGTTGATCAAAAAAAAAAAAGATATAGTGTAAAGGGAATTTGCCTGTAATTAAAATAAATGTGGCTATTATTGTACTATTCTGGAGTGGAATTGTGTCTTTTGATTTGTTATTGAATAGAATTGTGTTTTCATTTTTATTTTTTACAGCGTAACCTTTTACGTCTGTGTATGTGGTATGTTTTTACTGTCATTCACACATCTCTTTATTTTCTCAGCTTTTCCATCACCTTGTTGTATTCAATCATTTTCTCTAGTTCTTAATTGTGGGTCGCATTTGCATTTTTGTTTGCCATCGTATTTGTCACGTCATTGTCTCCTCATGGTTTATTATTTTACTTGAAACAGAGACTTCAATGTCAACCCACAGTCTTTGTAACGCAGTGACGACTGGATAATGATGCTGGTGGAAGAGAATAAGAGGACAACATAGAGAAATGATAAAACTACATTAGAAGAAAGCAGGTCACATGTGTGAGAAACCCGGCTATAGAGAGTGTTTTGGCAGCACCTGTGGGGGTACTTGGCATGTATGTACTGTATGTATGTCGGTGAGTGTATATGTACGGTATGTATGTCACACTCAGGGAAGCGGGGGCAAGCCTCGACGACCTACTTCCTGTCATCTCCTAGGAAACAGTTTCTTTGAAATAACCCTAAGAGGAACATGAAATCAAACACTTCCATGACTGAGTCACTGGTCAATGCTTTAAAGGAACAGCGTGGAGCATAAGGATCTATTGGCAGATGGAATATCATATCAATACCTATTCTTTCTTTACAGGAATAGTTATGTTTCCATTACCTTAGAATTATCCGTTTATATCTACATTCAGCGTTTTCGCAATTTTGCGTCAGCCTACACGCTCGGCACACGGGAGAAGTTTCAGTTGGTTGCAATCTGCAACCTCGCCACTAGATGTCGCCCAATCCTTCACACTGCACCTTTAAGTAAGGGAGCACTAGATCAAACAGGATTGTTATTTATTTCACAACATATGTGTTATGCAAATTTGCCACGATACTACTCACATTTTCCAAGATAGTGGACTTCTTGTCTGGCAATGCATGAGTATTTGTGTCATAACTAAACAAGTGGGAATATACAGTATTTGCACATGTTTGTTGGCATGTTTGTATTATACATCTTGTGCCTAAAAGTCAAATGAATCACTTTATTTTCGAGGGGGAAAAAATCCCTGCAAACCACACACAAGTATGTCTGCTGCCACTATTTTGCTTTGAGCATGCCCAGTGATAACACGTTTTTTAATCTTCAACACATTTTCACACAAAGCTTGTTACACGTTGTGTGAGTGTTGGAAACTATGCCCCCACAGCTCGCCTTCATGTGCTTTAGAGTGGGATTTTTCAGCCGTGTGTAGTGCATATGTTGGTGGTGTGTGTGTGTGTGTGTGTGTGTGTGTGTGTGTGTGTGTGTGTGTGTGTGTGTGTATGTGTGCGTGTTCTCCAGACTACATAAACACTGTGTCCTTCTCAGTCTCAGCTCCTCAGCAGAATCCCAAAAGGCAACAGGAGATAAGACAAGCCCGGTCGCCCATAACAACCTCTGTGACCATTAAGAGGCCTCCATGCATACCGGCAACTAGGAAGTGAGCTAATTAACCCTGAGTTCAAGACAGAAGGAGAGCGATTTTTTTAATAACATTCTCAGGGTTATATAAACAAACTCCCAGGAATATTACCACCCTGTGTCTGTCCATCTGCTGCTGGGAAAGAGGAGGAAGAAGAGGAGGTGTCCTGTAACTGGGCTTTAATGAGGCACACCGGGACAGAAGAAGAGGAGAGGACCCCGGGGTGCTGCTTGGAAGGTACACTATGCAGACACACACATACACAGATAGACACACAAATGCATGGACACATTGACAAACATGCTGTAGTACTACTTGAAAGGAGCTTCACTGACTACTTTCAGTCCTTGGCCTTAAACCCTAGCCCCTTCCACTTTGCCCTAAATGTCCTAATCTAAACCAAATGCAAGTCTAATGCGGTATAATCCTAAATCCAAGACAACCCTGAAGTAATGCTAACATTAAACCTTACCTTAATATAGGGTCCAATTCTGATTGTTATTCAAACGTGATCTTTAAAACCGTGTCCTGAAACTGACAAATGTCCTCTTTGGAGGGGTGAGGAAAAGCACAAAGCACAGTGTCCCTTTCTGTCCTCGCCATTCTTTCACCACATCTTTTCCAGACAATCTTCATAAGCACAGAAATGCAAGAGCATGCACTGTATCAGATGGATTTTCCTTCTATTGTCAGCGAGGATCGGCTCCAGCGCCCCCGCGACCCTGTCCAGGATAAGCGGTTAAAGATAATGGATGGATGGATAGTCTACTATCGTATTCAGTGGCACAGGGATTGCAAAACAATAAATTAATCAGGCAGTGTTTGCAGGGGTACTCCATCGATTTTACAAATAAACGTCAATTTACTCGTCCTGGGGGGTCCTACTTAGTTGTATAATTTCTTCCCTGGCTCTGGAGGAAGAAAAGATAACCCTGATAAAGACGACGACTTTTTAACACAACGGCGGTGCTATAAACTAGGAGTATAGTTTGAAATATGTACGCTTCGACCTGACAGGGAGGTTCTAATGCCTAAAGGGAAATTTAGGATGTCTCTGCCTCTGCTGCATCGGTTTTGACCATTCTTTTTAAGACAACTTTATAGATGAGCAACACTAAATTGCTGCAATAGCCTTGAAAGGAAAATGCGTCACCATTTTGTTCCACTGATAAAGATATATTTTTACTTTACTAAAGCTTCCCAAAGTGCACTTTCTTGCCACTTTAACACTTGCAGTTATATTTAATGTGTCCATCCTGTTGCTGATTTACACCAAAATCTATCAAAGCAAAAGTCTTATGTTAATGAAAACGGGTAAATAATAAGTGTGGAATTTTGATTTGTCACTGAATAGAATTGTGTTTTTATTTTTATTTTTGCAGCGTCTGTGTATGTGGATGTGGAATGTTTTTGAATTACTGTCGTTCAAACATCACTTTATTGTCTTTATTTTCTTTGCTTTTCCGTGACCTTGTATTCAATCATCAAACAGTTCCTCCGTGTTGCCATTGTCTTCATCTTTTTTTTTTCTCTCCAGTCCTTTTTGTTTGTTTTGTTTGCCATCGTATTTGTCACATGTCATTGTCTCGTCATGGTTTATTATTCAACTTGAAATAGAGACTTCAATGTCAACCCACAGTCTTTGTAGACTGGATAATGATGTTGGTAGAAGAGAATAAGAGGACAACATAGAGAATGTGTTGAAAATGATAAAACTTCGTTAGAAGAAAGCAGGTCACATGTGTGAGAAACCCGGCTATAGAGAGTGTGTTTGGCAGCATCTGTGGGGCGTCTTGGCATGTATGTGTATGTAGGTGAGTGTATATGTACGGTATTGTGTATTGTATTTAATGTGTCCATCCTGTTGCTGATTTACACCAAAATCTATCAAAGCAAAAGTCTTATGTCAATAAAAAAGGGTAAATGATAATATTCTAAAAATATATAAAAATCTTCTAACTTTACCCTCTTATAGGGTAACTGACTTTATTCTGATTCAGTTTAACATGACTATGTAGTGATTGATGATCCCACTGCTACATTACTACAATAAGGAGATTAATATTAGCCTACATGAGGTGATGCCATAGATAGAAATAAAATAAAGTGCCATGAAGTCACTGCTATAGAAAAACAACAACAGAGAAGCGTTTATAAAGGGAGGCGGAGTCAGCTGTTGGAGAAGCAGGGAGGAGCTGGGTCTGGTTCTGCTGGATGACTCACTCTGTCAATGCACACTCATTCACTCATTATAGCGCACACACACGCACGCAAACGCTTACGCGCAGGCACGTTTGGTGGTGGTGTGGGGAGAGGAGGAGGAGGAGGAGGGGGGATGCGCCAGCAGCAGCTGAAGAGGGCTTCCTAATCAGAGTTTACCACCAGGGCCGTTCATTCTCCACTGGAGGGCGAGTGGTACAAGAGCACCGGGACACTCCGGCAGCGGGAGGGAGACAAACAGAGCAGACAGTCGGAAGAAGGGAGACACGGGACAGAGCCGCAGCTGGAAGACACACAGACCAGACACAGAGGAAAACCCCGGATCCTGCAAAAGCATCATTTCTTTTCCGCCCCGTCGGATTAAACCCTGTCCCCGTCTCCAACACCGACATCACGTAAGACCTTCTGAAATGTCTCTCATATAGCGGCTAACGTAACATTCAGAGTTTAAACGGTGGGCTGCACGCTGTTGAATATAATGTTTGTTTTGCTGCTGCACGGATGCAGTGTTGAGACGGGACCTTTTTCTTTTTATTATTTAAACTCCATCACGCTAGCTTTTGTAGAGGCTCACTCTCCAAATCCGGCTCTCATCATTCAGACATCCTCTCAATGCCCCTCTCTCTCTCTCTCTCGCTCCCTCTCTCTCCCTCTCTCCCTCACACACACACAGCTGGAGACAGTAGCTTAATTGCTAGCTAGCTAGCCAGCCAGCCGCATTACAATGGACCCTTGAGCAAATTGATATCGAATTTACTCTCGCTCTTTGCACGTCGCTGCGGCTTTCTCTTCCAGGTAAATACGACACAAACGGAGACTTTGTGAAACGCAGCGGGGTTACTGATGCTTGCAGCGGGCTGGGAGGGTTAGCCACTGGAGCTAGCTGTAGCGGGACAGATCACACAGCCAGCCCCGGCCGAGATGACAGCCACACAGTGCCCACAGCTGCACCGTGGCCATAAAAAGTCAACGGACCAATGTATTTTTATTTACATAAATGTGTGTGCATTATGGCTTGCTGTACACGTAGCATGCACACCTTATTGGCCTGCAAAATAATGTTACTGTAATGTTAATTAAATCTGTTAAAAACTGGTGCATTCAAAGACTGCTGCTGGTAGTCGTGCAGGCAGTGAATCTTGGAGCTGCGGCTGCCATGTATGCACGATTCAATGTGTTTTAGTGTTTATTCTGCATTAATATAAGTCCATCTTTAAGGTAATATCAATGTTTGACAAATGAGCAGTGGGATGTTAAAAGTATGAGATTATATTTGATTTGTTTTCAGTCCATTTGCATCAAATTAATTGGTGAGAAAAAGGTTGACTATTGCATTTCACTGTTGATTTCATGACTTTGTTTCTCGGTTGAATCAATATCAGTTTATTGTTTTTGGGACTTCCCGTTCCTTTTATTAAGGGGAACACATGCTCGTAAAAAAAAAAAAAAAAAAAACCAGTACAAATGACAGCGTTGCTTAGTTTAAGAGTCAGAAAGCAGATGTCTATTTTCAAAAACAGTTTTATCGCCCACACCCAGAAGGCAGAGAGGGTTATTTGTTCAGGAATAACCTGCCGCTAACTCCGTAGGCTTATTTACTGTGCAAATAGCCCACAATGTTTTATTTTCTTGAAGGTTTCACTTGACTTGTCAGCTTTTAAAATGAATTAATAAAGGTGTGTACAGTAGATGATCCCTTAACGAGCTGGTTCACACCGACCTGGTGTGTCTTCTTATATATTATGAGCCATATTTGCAGAGGAACCCTGTTTTGTTCTTATAATAATGTAGCACAGGTGTGTTACAGTTCATTTTAATGTTGTTTGGCCTCCATATGTAATCTCGCCGGGCTTTTGGTCAGGGACCACAGAGGCTGTCATTATTGTAAAAATGACTGCAGGTTGTCCCCCCGCCTCTCCTTCAAACCTGTGTCCGCTGCTGCCCATGAAAGATCACAACTATTATGTGAAGAGAAACGAATTCGCCTCTGGCTTATTGACTTTGCTGCTTAAACACAGGAGCAAGCATTACCCTCCCTCACAAAATAACAATCCCTTACCTGAGGCTTAAACATGGACTGTGAGGCATTTTGATGAAGAGCGGTGGCCTAAGAAGCTTAAAGGCTAACTGAGGGGTGTGCAGGTGTTTTATTATTACATTTGTTTTTGGGACCAGATGACGTAAGTGTTATATATGTGGTCCACTTATTTTTCAGTGCCTTTTGATAGAATTATTTGGTTATTCTCAGGAGGCACTGCACAGCACAGTGCCTTCCTGTTGCACGCTTTCTGGTAATAGGATAGCTGCATTATTAGGGCTTTAATGATAATTCCGATATTTTTTAACCTAATACTGTATTGTGATCATGATTATCACCCGTTCGTGTTAATGATTAGAGGCAGTATCATGCTGGAAAATTATTACATTTTAAAATGATTGTCGCTTTTGGTATTGCTGATATTTTAAAAGTTTTGCGTGGCTGCTGTTCTGCTCCAAACGGAGTGAAATCATCCTGGCGCGTCTGGCTTAAAGTGAATAGCCTATACGTGTGGCAGTGGGATTTAATTTACTGCTCAGAATTGGAGAGATTGAAGGTAAATTGCATTATTTTCTTCAATAGCTCTGTGCATTTAGCCAGAAAGAACTACAATATCTTTGCTTTGAGTCACCGAGAGGCTAACGACAAAAAATGGATTTTGAATCTTGGATTAAATGGACAGCGTGTGATTGAGATGGAGGAAAGTAAAACACATGCCAAGCTCAGCATTTATTACAGATTCAGTATTTACACATGCGAGTGTGTTGCAGCCATTGATACAGTATTTGGTTGATTTGGCTATGAACTGACTCAGGCACACATTGCCCAGTGTTGTCTTGTGTTTCTACGGGAAGTCCGATTGTAGCTGTAGGGTTTGGTTCAAACAGTAATGAAGTGAGAACAATCTCTTGTTGTCTCTTTGTACGCTTTCACATTGAATTGCTTGGCGGTTAAAGGTTTGTACTAGAGGGACTTTGTTGGAGTCCATCGCTCTGCCTGCCAATTTACTGTACATCTTGATTGCTTGTTTCTCTTTTGACGGCTGGCTGGTTTCCTTTCATTTATTTTGTTCTCCATAACTAGGAGGCTCTGGTCTTGATTAGCTTGGCAGTCCTCAGTTTCATCCCTTTTTGTTTTGACGGGGCTGTCGGGTTTTTATCACAGCATTCTTGACGAAGCTGTCCGTCATCCTCGCGTATGTTTGAAGCCCTCACAGAGAGATCTGTGAGTGTGGAAGCGCAGACACAGCCATCCAGATGGATTGATTGGCCAACAGACGAGCAACCTGGCACACCAACTGACAGGCGAAGTGTTGGTAGTACGTCAAAAACATGTTGAATCACAGCCCCCGACATGTCTGCCCTCATTGTTAAAGTCTGCTGCGAAGCTGTTTGTCCATATTGTGATTTACTTTATGTTTTTCTTGGCAGGAGAGTAGAGGGACGTGGTGTGCGGTTCGTCTCTTCCTACTGTACGGCAGCGTTTTATACCTCGTCCAAATAAGTCCAGATACAAGCCTCTGGAATTATGAAATTCTCTCCCCTTCTTACCGCATGTCCTTTTTTGTCTCTGCAGGCCAAGACATGAGCTTCTCCCACTGAACCTTATTGATGCTGAACTGGTGAGTTTTTGGGGGGTTGCTCGCTGATATTGGTCTCTGCAGCTATACACACATTTCTTTTTCTTGGGTTATTTTTATTTAGTCCCTGTTTGTCTAACCGCACAGCTGGCTACCATCTAGTAGCAATTGATCACAAGGATCTGTTCCCACAATTTTGGATAACACAGGCTGCCTCTTTTATATGAGTTTCTTATTTCCACAGCATCTGGTTCATTATTGCATATTTATAACTTAGTCTGCATTAAAGTAATTGATTAGAGCATGCATAATGTGTATGAAACGTATGGCTTCATCCTGCCTGTAAGCCTACATGACAAGTTATGTAAACCAAAAAATTTTCCTGCCATATAATATTTGGCTCAGATATCCATCCGGCTCTTATTTTGCCTCTTTGCCACTCAGGCATTCAAAGTGTTCGACGTTGCATCGTGAGCTGAAAACGACAGACATTTTATTGGACTCGCGATGAATGGTGAAAGCAAAGAGTCTCCATTGTTTCACCGTATCTTTCACACGAGACTGATGTGCAGCTTTGTCCGATCGACAGCCAGACATCGCTCATTGATAAGTAGATTGCATGGCTGCTGCTGCTGCTGCTGCATGCTCGCTCATGCCAAGCTGGAAGATGTAATGGGGCTGAGAGGTGATTGCTCTCTCCGATATGTTCTGTTTTAATGATGCGATCTGTATTAATAATGTAATGTGTGTAGCATGCAGGCTGTCTGTTAGCTGGGCCTGATTAATTTAGCACTAAGCTTTATTTTAGGAGAGCGGTATACATTTTCATCATCCCAAATTATATTTGCTTCATTGCTAGTACCCTATAAGTATTTAAGCATATGACATAGGATGATGAATAGGAAACTACCACTGTAATACTGTCGGGTGGAGCTATTATTGTTTAAAAAAACAAGATGATTTTATTTTAGGAAGGTTCACAAGTCTAATCTAATAGCTCGAATCCTACAAGTAACCAACTTACACGTTTTACAGTTGCGAGATCACTAACATGCAGCTATTTCTATGAAGAGCAAAGCATCAATGGCAAAAATACGATATTTCCTAAAGCATCACAGACTGTATAGACGGATTTCACAAATAATTTCATCTGAAATAAATATGCTGTATATGTGCGATTCTGCTGATGACTTTTTAAACGTCGGAGTTCTGTTCTTCAGGCTTTATTTGTGGATTTGGAGCTCGTCATGGTTCAACACCGTGTAGTAGTCGTACTCTTTACTCGTAGAGGCTGGAAGGAGACGTTTCTACGTTTAAAAACCTGTGGAGCTAACATTATCTGAGTACGTTAGCACATCGTTAACTAGCAATAGCACTTCTATGCTACGCTAGGTACTGAAGGTAGGCTGAATGCTTTTGCTTTTAAATGAGTGTAACAGTGAATAAAGATCTACCCGGCTGTACAGGAACAGTCTTGTTCCTAATTTCATTTTCTTCCGTTTCAATCATCAGGTGATGTGGTGGTTGACTTTGACACTGATCTGTAGCTTTATAGTTTGTCTTTTATCTTTTTAACCTGTTTCTCACTGCTGAATCAGTTTGACATCCTGTATCTTCAAACACACACCGTGAACCCTTCATGTCTGCTTCTCTCTGAAATCGCTTTTTCATTTTTCCCAAAAATTATATGATTTTTATTCAGTGACAGGGTGGCTCCATGGTGACGTAGCAGCGGGGGGGGCGGGCCTTAGCGAGGGGTCAATTTAGAAGAAGAAAAGGCAGTCACTGTCACGCTCCCGTGCTGTTTCCCATTATGTTGTGATGTGGCTGCATGGTAGCAAAGATACGATGGGCGGAAACAAAGTTCCCCTCTTTGTAGTCAATGAGGGAGAAAATGACGATGGACTTGCTTCATGTCCGTTGGATCCTTCCAACTGTGAAAACTTAAATGCTATTCATAACAGCAGCAGTACCTGTACTCGCATCGATTTCTATTGCGAGTGTTGGCATGGATCCAGCACCCTGAAACGCTGTCCGACCCTCAGCTGCATTTTCAGACCGTGACATTCATTGAAAATATGGATGTGACAGTCACTTGAGGCTGCATCCAGACTGAGGAGGCTGTCACCATCAAAGGAACTGCATCTTTTAAATGTAATCCAGAAGCAGAGAGAAAATGGCTCCTCCAAAATAGCAAAAACTAAAAACACTTTTGTGTTCATCTAAATGTGCTGTTTTGTGATATAAAAAGGGAAGGAATGAGTAACATTTCCGATTAAGTGCAATTCAATCATCAAGAATATAGCTTTAACTACTGTAAAAAGTCAACTTAAGTCGCACTAAATACAGTAGACTTGATTCAGTCTTAGTTTAATGTTTTGTAGAAGGACGTAGTTATTCCTAGGTCACTGGGTGAGCGCTTGCATATAAAGCCTACTACATGCTACACTTTATCAGCACGGACGCTCGGTTCTGCTGGCCTGTGACACGACTATCTGGCTCATTGAAGGCCCGACATCGTCCTCTGCTCTCTGTGCTGATAAAATCAACTTCGCTCCATCAGTCTCTCGGCTTCAAATATAACGCAGCGGATCAAAACCCGGCCTCAACCCTCACTGGTCCGGATTTATATGTGAGCACAGTGTTTGCTGCTTAGACAAAGAGAGGGATCAAAGATGAGAGAGTGTGTCTTCACAGCAAGGGTAAGTGTGGCTGGAGGGTGAATGTAATGACAGGGGTATTCTCTGCACACTCAGCCAGCAGCAGAGACGGAGAGGGAAAGGTCGAGAGCAAAAGAGAGGGAGCCGCTTACTCTGACACCAACAGATGGGATCTGCTGCCATCAAGTCAATATTTACCGTTTCTTAACAAAGAAATGGGCAGCATTAGCTTAGCTGGTTCAGTAGCGAGCAGCGGAAGCGTCCCGGTTGGTGTGAAAGACGCTCCGTAGAGTAAAAACAACACTTCAGTGATGGTAATTGTTGCTCTGCTACAGGTGTGGCTCTAAAAATACATTGCAACTGGAAAAAGAGAGCCATTAGCCACCCCCTACGCTCTCTTGAGTCTTCTCTGCTTCCATCCTCCCTTCTTTTAAATGCACACCCTTTACCCATGGCTCAATCCACTATGGGGATACGTGTGAACGCAATTTGCACTTCCAATTAAACTGTCGACCTCTGCTCCAGAATGCAAAACTTGATTTTGTAACATCCTCTCCAGGATAGCTATTATTACCCAGGCAGCCCGATAATGGAGAGAACAGGGCTACACGATGCACTGATGAGGAACATTGAAGTCAGCACTTATCTCACCGTCAATATTTGAGACATATTTGATTGATCTTTGTGTCTACTGATTTATTTATTGATGTGAGAGATCAAACCATCTTCAGATCTTCCATCTCTAACTTGGAGCAGGTTGTGGTTTTCTACAACAAATGTTTCAATAAGCAGAGAAAATCAATTCATTTTATGAAATGAGAAAACTGTTTTCCGATACATACATAAGCATTTTCTCAGCAACATAAAACCAGTAAGCTGTCAAATGCAAAGATCTGCAGCGTTTCTGTGTTTCAGGCGTATTCACATTAAAATAGAGAGCAGTGTGAAAGACTGACTGAAAGTGTAGCAGATACATTAGGCTAGAGTTAGCCTACAGCATGCTGCCGAGCCTGCAACACGGCTCCAACACATGACTCGCTGGTCAGATCAGATGACTAGATAAACAGCAGGAATGTTGCTTCTTCCTCATTTCTACAGCACTGCTCTTGTCTGACTGGGCAATGAGAGAGAAGTGTGTGTGTGTGTGTGTGTGTGTGTGTGTGTACAGTATATGCCAAAAGAGCATCTTTAACCAGCCCACTACTGTACCAGATAGAAAGTCCAAGCAATTATGTCACATTTAGCTACTGAGCTTATAACTTGTCCTGCTCAAGATATGTTTAGAAATACAGAGCAAGGCATAATTGTCTCTATGTAGTTATTGACTTGCATAATGCTTGGTTTTATGCTGCTATCCCAGAGTGGACCACAATGAAGTACTTAATACGGGCCTTATTTATGTATATTTGTGTAAAGACAAAGTGGATTTTAATGCCAATTTTCCGACGTTTTTATGAGTTTACAACTCCTAAAATAAATTTAAAAAAGGCTCCCTGAACTCTGAGTGAGGGAAACAAACACATTATAAACGCACAGTATGAAAGACAAATGGTTCGCTGACATGGATTTCCGACCAGTGCCAGATATTTGTCAAAGGCCCCCGAGCCATTTCTCTTCAGACACTTCTCGCATGTCATTTAAACAAACGTCGGGGCTTAGCACATGAATCCATTAGAAGGCTATCATAACAAACTGTGGAAGTAATGTAAAGTTTAGAAGAGTGTCACAATCAAAGCACATCAGAAGTAGAGTTTTGTAAATCTTACATTGGCGAATAATGGGACATTTTTTACCCAAATGACACCGAATGACACACGACTATTAGAGCACATGAAGGAGAACAGGGAAGGTTGTATATAAACTGTATATATCACATATTGTATATACATTTTTTTCCAAGCTGCACTGTATTAATCCTAAATGCAGTTACTCAGTGAAAAGCCTTTCCAGCTGCTTCAACATGCTTAAAGAACCAGGTCTGTAGAAATTAGTTAAATAACGAGAGAGGTGTAACATTGCCATTCATCAAACAAAAGGTGGTGGATCAATTCATTATTACTTTGTTATTGTTGGCTCAGTTATACAAGTCGCCAGAGTTTGAACCATCTGTGAAGTCAAATTGTATGACTCGTGTCATCGTCGTACAATGGAAAACATTGTTGTAGTTATTTCCACCTACAGTAAGGCCAAATATCGTGTCAGAATTCCAGCTCCATCTGTAGTGATCATGTCATGTTTGAGTAAAGTCATAATGGAATATTTATGTAACAACTTGAGACTTAAATTTGAAAGCCACAATGGCTTTAATTAAACCGATAGATTGCACACATAACGTGCCTGAGAAGGGCTCAAGTAACACTGATCTAGACGTGGTTTTCGTGT